TGTGCTGTTGTGCTGTTGTGCTGTTGTGCTGCTGTGCTGTTGTGCTGCTAAACTGTTACACTGCCATGCTGCCATGCTGTCATGCTGTCATGCTACCATGCTGTCCTCCTGTCCTCCTGTCCTCCTGTCCTCCTGTCCTCCTGTCCTCCTGTCCTCCTGCTCCTCTATCCTGTTACCCCGGTGTATCCTCTTGCCCACCTGCCCTCGTCATGCCCGCCCCCCACCCTCCCCGCCCTCCGCCACACCATCCTCGCCGACCGACAGACAATCACCTTCGGCCCAAACTCCGAGCTGGATGAGTACAACATCTCCATGCAAAACAGCCTCGCGCGGCAGATCCACGACACGGAGCAGCTCCTGGAGCACCACTCGACGGATCGCCCCGATGCCGCCTCCCCCGACCAGGCGGCCATCACCGCTGCCCTTGGGCATCTACGCCAGGCGTTTGACGCCCTCCGCGGTGCCGGGTCGTCGACTGCCGCCGCCGGCGGGCGCGATGCCAGCACCAGCACCAACGGTGGCGGCGGCGGCGGCGGCGGCGGCGGGAGCAGTGGTGGTGGCAATGGCGGCCGGGACAGCGGCGGCCGCGCTGATGGCCAGGTTTCTCGGCCACCTCCGCCACCTCCGCCGCCCGCCCCTCCCGGGCCGGCCTCATCAACCGGCTCGGCCCGCTCAGTGCCGGTCACCGAGGCCCGGCCATCGGCCACCGATGACGGCTGCCTCCTCTCCATGGAGTCGCACTCCTCCTCCGGCATGGCCGAACCCCCCACCCCCAGCAACAGCGGCGCCGGCGCCGGTGCGCCTTCTCCGCCCCCGCCCGGGAGTGCTGCCCCCTTGATGGATCCTGCTCCTGCTGCCCCTGCCATTGCTCCTGCGACCACGGGTACGACCAGCAGCCCCTCGCCCCCTCCTTCCCCTTCGCGCGGGCTGGGCCTCTCCTCCGGTGGCGGTGGCGACGGCGACTGTCGGGCCCTGGCTGGTCAGCAGCAAATCCGGCGCTCCTGCCCCGAAGGGGAGGCCGCGGCCCCGGCGCCGGTGGCCAAGCGCCCTCGCGCCGACGCCGCTCCCTAGAGAGTAGCCGCGTGTCCTTCCCCCCCCCCCCTGGTGCACCATGCCCTTTCTTGTTCAGCCCTCTCTCCCTCTTCCTTCCCCCTTTTCGGGCGCGAGCGCGTGACACGCGCACCTCCCCCCTGTGCTGCTCTCCCCCCCCCCTCCCTTCCCCTCTCCCCTCCTCCCCTCCCCTCCCTGCTTGATGCGGGGTGCGTGCGCGTGCGCGGCCATGCGCCCATGCGAGAGGGGGGGGGGACGGGCGGGGAGCGGGCGGGACGGCTGTGCCCAGACGCGAGAGTGCTACACGCGCACGCCTGCCCTGCATACACATGTCCCCTCCCTTTTCCTGCCCCTCCCCCCGCTCCCTTTCATCTGCCTCCCTCCCTCCCCCGCCCCCCCCCCCCCTCTCGCTGTCTTTTCCCCTACCTCTCCCCATCGTCGGTTGCCCTTCCTGCCGCCTATCTTCCCCCGTTTGTCTCGCCTTTTTTTCCTCCTTCCGCGATTCCCCCCTCATTTTTGTCCCTCCCACCCTCTTCCACGAGTGTGTGTCTGTGTGTGTGTGTGTGTATTGCTTCTCCTCCTCATTTCCCCTGCGCATGTCCTTGAATTTGTCCCCATATCCACGTATTTTCTCCCAGTACTAGAGAGAGGGGGGGGGGGAGGGGGTGTCTGGGTCACATGTATGCAGTGTGTGCATACATGCATGTGTATATGCGTGTTTACGTGTGTGTGTGTGTCTGTGTGTGTGTATCTGTCTGTCTGTCTGTCTGTCTGTCTGCATGGACGTGAGAAGCCGGTGGCAAGGGGAGCACCCTCTGCCTGCTCGCCTCCCTCTGCCTGCTCGCCTCCCTCTACGCCCTCTCCCCCCTCTCCGACCTCCCCGCCCTCCTCGACTCTTAGCAGCCTGTACTCTGCATCCCACCACGCCGCCACTGACGTGCCAGCTGAAAAACCCTCCTCGTGTGCTCGGCAGATGATGGCGCAGCCTCGGCCGCGGCCGGCAGCCCGGCAGGCCGCTCGGGCCGTGAATCGGGCTCTCGCTCGGCCAACTCATCGCCCTCCCCCTCGCCAAGCCCCTCCACGCAGTTTGTCCAGGGTTTGCTGAGCTCCTTGAGGTCGCTGGTGCCGAGGGGGAGCCCCGGGCCCAGCAGCGACGCCGCAAGTCACCGGCCCTCGAACCCGCCGGCCGCGCAAGTTCCCGACTCGGCGCGCTCCAGTAGCCGGTCCTTTGACATCCTCTCGCAGTCCAGCAGCGACGGCGCGTCTGACCCCTCCTCACCGGGGAGAGGCGGCTCGGCCGAGGAGGCCACTGGCCGGCCACCACCGGGCGCCGCCTCGGCCAGTTCCTCGGCCGCATCGCTGACACCCTACGCCAAGGTGCAGGACCCGGGGGCCGGCCCGCCGGAGTAGCCCCCCCCCCCCCCCCCCCCCCCCCCCCCCCCCCCCCCCCCCCCCCGGGCCCCCCGGGGCCCCCCCCCCCCCCCCCCCCTGCGCCTCCCTGTGTCCCGCCCGACCGAGCGTCCCCGGGCGCCTTTTTCCTCCCTGTCCGCGACATCCGGGCGGGGGCAGGAGGCGCGGGGACGGGGAGGGGGGCAAGGGGGCGAGAGCAAACACGCGTTCTCCCTCCGCCAAAAAAAAAAAATAGAACGCCATGCTCACTGCGCATGCAGGAAGGGTGCCATCGATTGGCGGTGGCGGTGATGCAGACCGCAGGGGGATTGCCCACGCGCGCGCCCCTGTCGTCCCCTGGTAGAGGAGGAAAGGAGGCAGGCAGAGAGAGAGAGAAGAGCAGATGCATTCATGACATTCTATCCGCATGGCCGCACAGCACCGGACGGTCAGCCAAACTCCAGGCACACATAGATCCCGGTGGTGGCGGTGGCGGGGGGTTTGCGCCGGCGCCTGCCGGTCGGGGCGTCGCCCTCGCTCGAGGCGTCGGTGTTGGCAAGCAGCGGCGGCGGCGGCGGCGGCGGCCCGGGTGTCGATGACGAGGCCGGCGGCTGCGAGCCTGCCAGGGTGAATGTGTCGACATCTTTTTTTTTTTTTTGTTTCGTGCGCCGCACAGAGGGAGGCGCGAGAAGGCGGACAAATGCCGCATGGGGCAGGGCCCCCCAAAGGGGCGTGGGCGCGTGCGTGCGTGCGCATGAGATCGCTCGGTCAGCCGGCGCGGCACCATCAAGCTTGGCGGCGACGCATCCGTGCGCACCTCGGATTGTGCAAAGCCGCTGCGCTTGCATCAGACTGGCAGCCGAAATGCAGTTGGGGATGGCTGCATCGCCGGCGGCCGGGGAGAGGGGCGAAGCGTGCCGGGGCACATGCACGTGTGGATACACATGCACACACACACACACACACAGAGGGTAGCGACAGAGCATCAGGAACCGCATACGGGCCAGGAGGAGGCATGGCGGCAGGTCCCCCCCCGCCCTCGCCGAGCAGCGAGGCCCCCCCTCCCCCCCCCTCCCTCCCCCCCGGCGCGCGGCTGCTTGTGAACGTACCCCGGCCCACGGCCACCAAGAAGATAACCCGGCTGCGGTCCATGTTGCCGATGGCCTGGGAGACGATCTGGTCGATGGATCGGCACTGGCCGCAGTCAATCAGGATGTCCACCGGCCCGGCGGCGACCCCGTCGCTCGGCCCGGGCCAGTCGGCCGACACGCGCGGCAGATGCGCCCGAAGGAGGTGGAAGTCCAGTGCCCCGGGCCCGGCTGCGCCTTGCATCGAGCCGGGTGCCGTGTCATGCGCCGACGGCGATGGAACCAGCACCGTGGCCTTGCCCCCGCCGGGGCGGTGCCCGGCGCCGGCTGCCTCGATGGCCTGCAGGTAGGCCCGGTCTTCGGATGTGGCCTCCGAGGGGAAGAAAAAGCCGGCCCGGCCGCCGGAGCCGGCATCGCCAGCCTCCCCGACCCGGGGCCCGGTGCCGGCCGGATGGTGCGCGCGCCCCCGAGCCGGGCCCGTCTGGTGCCACTCGCGTGGCTGCCCCTGCCGATGGGGCGGTCCCCGGGAGCTCATCCTCTGGTTGTGGCGTTGCAACGGGAGCCAGGAGAAAGAGAGGCCAGGTGAGCGGGTAAGGGGGGAGGCGAGAGAGGGAGAGGGAGAGAGAGAGAGAGAGAGAGGGGGAGATAATTCACCGCAGGGGTGTGGGGGGTGTGCAGCACTCGGCTGCATGCACGGAGAATACACCCGCCCGAGGGGGCGGGGCGTCCAGCAACCAGCCCCATGAGACCTGCATCCGGGCTTGCCGCCGGCCCCCTCCGCCCCCCCCCCACCTCCGGGCCCCCGGACCCCCCGGCCCCCACTCCGTCCAACGAGAGACTCAACGCGAGCCCACTGCGATCTGTTGATCGGGGGCCGGCCAGAGGCGCATCACGCCGGCGGTGCTGCCAATCACGCGACACGTGCTACAGTGTCGGAAGGGGATCCCGAAGAGCAGAGCGCCAGTATCAGCCCCGCTTAACCTCGGCCGCGAGGCGGAGGGGCGTCCACGCGCACACGCATTGGTGTTGGGGGGTGGGCAGACGTCCGTTTTTTTTTTCTATTCGGCTCCACACATGGAGAGGGGCCGGCGGGGCCGGGGCCGCGAGGAGGCCGGGATGCGGGCACGACGTGTGCCGCGCTCGCGCCCCCCCCCCCCCCCCCGGCCCTCCGGCTGCCAGGCCGGCGGGGCAAAGGTGCGCCCGGGGCGTCCGCCCGCGTACGTGCCCATCCAGGGGTCGGGACACAAAAGGCGTTCAGAGCGTGGTCGCGCAATTAGTCACAGGTGGGCGCTCGCTCGCCCATGGGGCGTCCTGGCCGACGGCAGGCGCGCCCGGCCGGCGCCGCGCGCCGGTTCCCCCCTCCTTGAAGGTGGGTTGCCGCCGAGTCCCGCCCGGACCCGGGGGCCCGGGCGCGCCAATCCGCAAATGAGCCACGCGCGCTCGGCCGTCTGTCCCCCACCACGCCGGGCCGGGCCGCGCCCGGGCCCCCGCCGAACGCGGGGACCGGAAATTAGCCCTCCGTCCGCCCATCTCCTGTGTGTGTGTGTGTGTGTGTGGGGGGGGGGGGGGGGGGGGGGGCCACCAGCGGGATGGGCCCGGCCGCCCGGGGTCTGTGTGCGCAGGCCGCGGGCTTGTGCAAATGGGCACCGGCATGCGCGCGGTCATTGCCCTGGCATGCGGGGGCGCAGGCGCGCCGTGTAAAAACGGATGGTGCTCGCCCTGGGCAAGCCCGTTTGGGTGGGGCTCTGGTGGTGGGTTATTTTGTGCCGGCCCTCCCGGAGGGGGGGGGGGGGG